CTTGTGGCAGTCTCTTCTCATCCTCCTCCTCCTATTCCTCCTCCCCTCTTCCTCCTCCTCCTCTTCCTCCTCTTTCTCCTCCCCGTCAGTCTCCTTTTCCGTATCGTTCCTCTCCTCCTCCTCCTCCTCCTCCCCCTCCTCCTCCTCTCGCCCTCCTCCTTCCTATCCTCCTCCTCCTCCTGCTCCTCCTCCTCCTCCTCCTCCTCCTCCTCCTCCTCCTCCTCTCCTCCGCACCGTAGTCGCGTCTGCCCACTGCCTCTCTCCGCCATCCATGCCCGGATGGTCATGGCTGCTGGCGGCTGCGAGGTACTACGTGGTCGCTGGGTTCTCGGGCGCGCTTAGACGCCCTCGCGCGTCGCTGTTTTCACACCTTCTACGCCCTGTCGCCGCGCGCAGGGCCGCGACGCCCAAAAAAGGGTGGGGGCGGCGCCGCCGCCGAGGCCCAGGATCGATCGATCGATCGGGTGTGTTTACGGCAGGTTCGCGCCGCGTTGACGCGGCGGCGGCGCCGGCGCGGGTGTTCAAGGTTGAACGCCGCCAGGGGCCCTTCATCGCAATATAGGGAGCGGTTTTCGCTGCCAGAAAGCTGTGATCGTTCGAGGTCGAACGATCCGAGCGGTGTCAGAAACCAGCGCTGACGTCATCGCGACGTGAAGCTACTGTGCGCTGGGGCTTGGTTTGCGATCTGCGCCCTTTGGGGTCCAGGAGGCGCCACGACGCGCCACAGGTTTGAGATGACCCCTCGTCGTGGCGCGGCGGAGAGCTCTTTCGCGTTCCTCGCCCGCCCTCCCCGGGGCGCACGTTGCAAACCACAGCCTTTGCAAGCCGCGCTCTTCGAAATCGCCGAATCGAGGATCGAGGTCCGAGTTTTGAAGTTTGAAGGACCGAGGTCCGAGGACCGAGGTTCGAGGCTTGAAGATCGAAGAGCCGAGGATCGATATTCGAGGTTCGAGGATGGGGGTTTTGGGCCTCCAAGGTGCCTTCCCCGAGACGACCCGGAGGCTCTTAGGGGGCCTCAGGGCGCCTCTGGCGACTTCTTCGGGGACCAATGAGCGTCGCCGCCGCCGTTTGCGTCGTCGTTGTCGTCGTCTGCCGCTGCAAGGGTTGTGGTACTACGAAGATTCATAACAAGACAAGAACGTGCACAGCAGGAAAGATGTGGTGAACCTTCGGAGGAATCTTGAAATTCATGGTCTTAGTAATGACAGCTCTCAGCGCCTAGTATGAAGACTCCCTACACAGTGTCGCCAATCCGGCCGGCGGCATATTAGGACACGGGGTGCGGGGGGTGCGGATGGCGAGTGGTATTCTTGACGCTTCACATATCCCCATCAGCTTTAATTAGCTTCGCCTGCTGGCCCAGACGACGCCTTCCGCTCCCTATCCGCTGCTTCGGAACCGCCGACCAAAAAACATATCCCCATCAGCCTGCACGGGTGGCCTCCCTGCGTGGGAAGACCGCGCCGTCGCCTGGAGCATCCGCAGCTGGAGCGCCGCGTGGATGTGTCGCCGATGCCTCGTCCATGCATGGGACGCCAAGCCCAGCGTCGTCGACGGCATCCTCGATCGTGACACCCATTTGATCTATCCTTGCTCCCCAGCTTCGAAACCGCGCTCCGCACCTCCGGTGCCTGTCGAACCGTCGCTAGCCAGCGAGCTCGCACCCAACCGTGCCTCTGCCACCAAGCCGGTCCCGTTCAGCAAGAACGGTGGTGCCCGTGGCCTTTTCGCGCCAGGCCAATACGGGAGACCCCCCGCAACGCGCGGTGCCGTGGAGGTACGCAACCTCCTCCCTCACGTGGACCCCGCAAGGGCCCTTCGTTGAAGTGCATTGCCATCGATCACCTGGAGGCCGCCGCGGAGGTCGAGCGGAACCGCCTGAACGCTAGGCCCATCGAGGTCACGCTGGTCGACTTCTCACGCGATTTGGACCCAACCTTGGACGACCAGTGGAGGGACCACGCTGCTGAGCAGGGCAGAAACGTCAAGGGCTCCGAGGCCCCTGATAACTGGGACCCCCCCCTGCTGCGTCCCTTCCTGAAGAGGGTCTGCGGCGACAGAGTCGCGCCAAATCACGTCCCAAACGACTTCCACTGGCAAGGTAAGCGACTCGCCGCCGCCCGCGTGGTCGCACACCTGTGCGTTGACTCGACTGACATCACCATGCGACACAAATTGTTTCTGCACGCCAACCAATGGTCCGTGCGTGGCCCTTCCCCACTCCGCCATACGCTGGACGCTCTCGTGGGGTTCTTGACACAGGTCACCTCCGACAAGCTCGCCTCCGGGTCATTCCGCGAACTGGCCAAGGACGTCCCCTTCGTGTACACGCAGGAGCAATGCAGGCAGCTCGACACCACCCCGACCTGTGGACACAGCGACAACGACTGGTGGAAGCAGCCCAACGACGAGCGGATAGAGAAGGCCGACCCACCGGCAGAGTTCCACATCTTTGTTGCCCGCACGCCCGAGCTTCCCGATTGGGGCAACACCGCGCCCTCCCCCTCGACGCCGGCACAGAGTGGATCCAGCCCTCCCTTCGCCCATAGAGCCAGCTCCCGCTCCCCTGCGGGCAGCCGCTCACGGCGGGCGAGCCCAACCGCGGACGATCCTGACGATCCTGACACTGGTGCAATAGTCCCGAGCCCCTCACCCCCGCGGGAGGCCAACGCGATGGGCCCCCCCCTTGCCAGCGTGGGCGACGACACCGCCGCCCACGGAGACGCCGCCTCCGACGCTTCGTTGGCTGGCTCTTAAGGCGACAAGCCTGCCCCCCCCGGGGCCGCCAGGGGGCGCCCGCTGCCCTGTCCCCGACCCCCGGTTCGGAACCGCCAGCACTGCAGGTCGACTCCTCCGGCAGTCCCGACGCGACGGACAGGCCCTGCAGTCCCGCGTCCCCTGCTGACGGCCCCTGCGCCTCCCCGGTGCTGGCAGGGCAAGACGACAGAAACCTCGCGCGCCTTCCTGAGCGCAGGTCCCCGCCATCCCCTGGTATCCCCCGGCAGCCCCGGGCGGCCAACGCGGTGCGGGATGAGTGCGACTGGGGCGAGGGCTGGGGTGAGCGCCGCCCACGTCGGCACCGCGAGTCCAGCCGCAGCGGCCCCTACAGCGGCAACTGGCCAGGATGGACAGGGTGGCCCAGTTGGGGGGCCGGCGACCGCTGGAGTCGGTCTGCGCGCAGTCACCCCCCCCCTGCCCCCGATGACCTCCCTGCCCAGAGATCCAGCGTATTCAAAAAATCAGGACGGAGTTTTTTTTTTTTTTTTTTTTTTTTTTTTTTTTCTAACTTTTCGGCCTCTCGAGGCCCTCGCCGGGCCCCAGGATTGTCAAAAAACGACTCGGGAGAAAACATTGGTCCTGTGGAATGGGTCGGGACTTCTGGGGGCCCCGCATTGAACAAATCACGGAACGTGCACAAGCCGACCGCGCGCAAGGCTTAACTAACCCAGTCACTGGCCTCTACATCTACATTACTCCACTAGAGCGGATCGATCTCATCAATCCCCCTGGTGCGACTCCGGCCGAGACCGTGAAGCGGCTTCAGACGGACCTCGGGGAGTACTTCAATGGGATATGCCACCAGTGGGCGACCAGGAACCCCACCCCGTCTGGCCACATCTGTGCCGACCCCACGAAGCATGAACCCGAATCATGCTTGCGCTTCCTCAAAGAATGTTCAATGATAGGTCCAGGGGCAGGGGCGCCCTGGGCAAGGCCGAAGGCAAGGGGCCCCAGGAGGGCAACGACTCTAGCTGGACGAGAACGGTGGAACCCCGGCGGTCCGCGGGCTCGCGCCCGCCCTGGGTGCACTCCCAAGTCCCAGTCCAGGCCGCGCGGGCGCAGGCGCGCCACGACTGCTCTCCAGACCATGGACGCCCCGCACTGTGCATCCGTGTATCTCGCGGAGCCCCCCCCCCCCCGACCAGGCGGGACTGGTCGGCTCCTCCAGCGCACTACCTTGATGTGCGCCGAATGCCGCCTCGGGCGCGCCCAGCTGGGGCTGTTGGCTCGCCCCAGGCACCTTGGAGTTCCTTCTGGGACCCCACTTTGCGGCCCCTCTCCCCCTGGATGACTGCCGCCCTCCCCCCCCCCCCCCCCCTTGACGCGCCTTAAGCGAATCCGGGGGTTGCCCCCCTCCCTCCCCCACCCTGGGGGGGCCTCCATTGCTGATAGAGCCCCCGCAGCGCCACTTGCAGCCCGGCGCTGCCCTGCACGTCGGTGCTTGACACCCATCGCTCACCCGGCACGAGGGCCCGATCATCGCCCTGCAGACCCCCGCCCTGGCGGCCCCCCCCACCACGGGCCCTGCCCGTTGCGGGGCCCCATCCCCGGTGCTTCGCTCTGACCGCGGCTGTGAACTGCTTCCCCGCGCCCGCCCTGGCTACCGCCCCCCGTCCGCCCCTGGTCCTGCGCCCCCCGCGTTCCCCGCGGCTTTTGACGCTCGTCCCGCGGCTGTTAGCTGCGCCCTCCTCCTCCTCCTCCTCCTCCTCCTCCTCCTCATCCTCCTCCTCATCCTCAAGCCCTTCCTGCTCAGACCAGGGGGAATTGGGGCTCCCTGTCAGGACTTGATGCAGGCTACACCCCTTCCGCCTGCAGCCCCAGCTCCCGCCCACCATGTGGGCCTCCCTCCTACAAACAGTACTCTATAATCCACTCTCTCTTAGCGACACATGGCGGGCACACGACGTTTCTTCTCGGTTGAGCTTTGCAGATTTTATTTTGTTGCCAGGGACTCAGCAGCGGCGCCGCGCAGGAGATCCCCCGACAAGGATGAAGCTTGAGAAGCACATGATGGTGCAGTTCGGGTGGCAGCGGGGGAGGTACACAAACAAAAGCGCGGGCTGCGCGATCATGCTGAGACGGCGGGCTTTTAGAGAGGCCCACGTTCATGAAGTACTAGAGCCTCCTCGAGAACTGGCGGGGCGGGGAGGGGCAGTTCGACTCAAGAGTCCGACCTTCGACATTATGGTAGTGGTGGCCTACTTCCCGCCCCCGCAGAGACACCGTATCGACCACTGGAACACGACCTGCGCCGAGCTCACGGCGTGGCTTCATCGGGCGATACAGCGTGCCCGAGCGCGCCGCATGATAGTGGTGGGAGCTGATGCGAATTCCGCGTTCGGACGACGCAGTGGGCCCAACGGCGCCCCGACCACGACGCGCGACGACGTGCACGTCGGCCCGTTCGCGAACAGCTACGAGAACGGGGTGAGTGCCGCTCTGTGGCGCATGATGAGCATGGAAGGCTTGGGCGCGATAGACACCTTTTATGACACGGGGCCAACTTACTTCGGGGCCGAAGCTCACATCACCTCGCATCCTGACCACCTGTGGGGACCGTGCGACGCTGTGCAGGCGACCAAATCGTGTGTGTGTCTCAGACGAGCGATGCGTGACCGACAACGTATACCTTCACCTTTACTTCGAGACCATTGCCCCATGTTGTGGCGAGTACACTACAGGCTGCAGACCGCACCTCGTCCTGATGGACGGCGCCTTCGGTGGGACAGAGACCTCATGGGACAAGCTCTTAACCTGCGAGGCGCCCCCGAGTTCATCGCAGAGCTGGAGAGACGGTGCGAGAGTTCGGCGAGAGCGTGGCGATTTTTTCTTAGAGCAGAGGACCCCTCACTTTCTTGGTTTCACTTGGTGTTGGATGTCACAGAGGCAGCACAGACATAATTCCTGGAGACCAAGACGAGGGGGCCGTCTGCTGCATATCGAGAAGAGCGAGATCGACTTCTGGCAATGAGGCGTCAGCTCAGTGTTCACTTTCAGGAAGAGGATCGACTTAGACTCCGTGCTTGCGATCGTGAGATCAAGCGTACACGCCGCAGGTTGGACAGAGAGAATGTCGAGGCGCTGCTGAAGGAGGCACAAGTGGCCTCTGACCGTGGCCATACCAGCACAGTTTGGAAGCTCGCCTTTCAGATCGGGGCGCGCTATCACGGGGTGCGGAGACGACGGTTTAACCTGATCCCAACTTACGCCCCGACGTTGCAAGAGTGGCAGGACACGCTGGAGTCCGACGCTAAGGAGGGGGGCTTCTCTGCTGTTCGTCTACGCGGACCAGGCATTCCTCGCAGCGTGGCTTTGGCTACGAGAGAGATTGAGGACCCAGATGGGGAGTGGAAGGATCTGCGAGGACGACCTGGATCGGCCGCCTACGACGACTGGACGAACACGCTGCAGTGTCTGGAGAAGGCGGCCAGGCGCAGGTACTCCCCCCCGCACTCCGCCCCCAGCGAGGTGTGGCCCATGGCGATGAGGGCTGCTACTCGAGAAGCACGGGGCGAACCAGCGGATGAAGACCCTCACGAGCGAAGGCAGAGAGTTCACGTCCCTTGTCCACGACTGGCTGAGCGCATCTTTGAGTTCCTGAGGCAGATTCGGAATACGTGTCGCACTCCCTACCAGTGGCACTGGTCAAAAACGTTCCAGTTGAGCAAGGGCAATGACAAGAGGGGCACCAAGGCGATGAGACTCATACACTGCTACTGCCCGTTCGGCAAAGCTTGGTACAGAGGCATATTTGTTCGACATGAGCGCTCAAGACTTCCATTGTACGCACATGGATATGCAGCGCACAGGTCGAGGCAGAGCGCGCAGCTGGTTGCTAAACTTCACTCGTGGAGATTACGAAAGAAGCCCGTCTCCCACCTGCAGATCAAACAAGACATGAGCAACGCGTTCCCTTCGACAGATCACGACATCCTGGAGCAGGTGATTGGGGAAGTGATCCCCGACATGCAGGACCAACTCTTCTTGCACCAGAGGCATCGTGAGGCGGTCATCGAGGTTGAGGCAGGCGAAGAGAAGGGCTTCTTCCAACCCACCCACGGCTCGGGCATGGGCGACGGCAACGCGTGTGAGCTGTTCGTGCGGTCGTTCGTCAAGCCGCTGGAGGCGTGGAACCAGATCCTCTTGCAGGGCACCCAGGCCATCTTAGATACAGAGAGCGGCGGCTCCGTGCCGATGATGGAGGCGGCGACGCTGATTGACTCGCCCATCCACTCTGAGCAGATCGACATCTCCATGCGCGACTACGCCGATGACGTATCGCAGACCCTGCCGCTGCCGAATGGCAACCCCGTCCACGCAGCGGAGAGGGCAAAATGGTCGTCTCGTATTTTGTCAGATCAGCTCGAGGAGATAGGAGGGTTTACTCAGAATGTAGACAAGGAGATCATCCTCCCAGTCTTTGTGGGCCCAGGAGGATACACGGCCACGAGGGCCGTGCTCTCAGGACTCGTCCAGTTCCCAGGGCAAACTCAAGCTGAAACCGTCTACCTCGGAGGACTTGAACATTTGACGGGTGGTTCGGGGGCTGAAGTTAAATTACGTGTCGACGCTACGCGCTCTGCCTGGACCAAGCTCGGGAGGTTCTGGAACCTGCACTCGTCTTTGAAGCTTAAGAGGATGGCTTTCTTGGGGATTATCCACAGCGCGGCCTACTCGGGCCTCGAGGTCTATATCCTAGGTAAGAAAGACTATGCCAAGCTTGACTCGGTGATCTTGGGATTCGTGAAGGTGGCGATGAGGGGCGTTGCCAAGAGAGTAGGGCCAGAGGGAGATAGGATTCGGACACCTTCGGCGAGAGTCATGCACAAGTGGTTGCGCATCGCTGACTCGAGGACTGAGCTCCTGATCAGGCGCCTCGGCTACTGGCAGCGCCTTGCGGTGAACCCCGCAGATTCGGTTCAGGTAGTTGCGGCGCTCTTCGGGCACTTTTCTTCGCTGGGCGAGTCTCCGACGTTCGCCCCCGACGGTTGGATTCGGTCTGGCGCTAGCCCGTGGGCCCTCCAGCTCCAGCAGGATATCAAGCTCCTCTCGGTCATCCCCACTGGGCACCAGTTCCTGGCGAGAGGCTATTCAATCCGGGACATCTTCACGAACTACCGTGTCGCGTGCCATTTCAAGAGCGTGAGTCTCAAGGGTTTTCGGAAGGCCTATTGGGAACAGGAACATGAAGGACCCCTTCGGCCTCCTCCTCAGCGCGGGATTCCACCAGAGGTTCCACCAGTCCCTGAAGCCCCTCCTCAAGAATACTACTGTGACCTCCCAGGCGAGAGCGGGGACCCCTGTGGGCACGTCTTCTACTCCAGAGCGGCCTTGAGAGCACATCAGTGCCACCACCCGTCGCGCAAGATCAGGGTCCCGATGCACCAGCTTGTGGTGACTAACCAGTGCTGCTACTGCTCCTCTACCTTCTCGTCGGTGGTGCTGGCCAAGAGGCACGTGGTACAGTCACTTCGCCGTCGCCGCTGCCTCACAGATTTCAGTGCGTATTCACCCCCCCTGGTTGTGCCCGACGACCTCCACTGTCCGATCTGCGTGGATCCAGAGTCTGCTCACGAGGCTTTCAGAGAGGGAATGGCCGAGGCCACACTGGCTCAAGAGCCGTTTCTGACGCTGCAGACACTTCAGACACACATCCGAGAAGCCCGCGCGCCGCCCGCCCCCGATCTTGTGCTGGATGTCGAGCCTGGCGGAGCGGGCTCTCGCCACTGGGACAGAACAGAGGCGACGCGATCTCGAAGGTGGGCGAGGCGATCGGACTCGGAGTGGGGACCGCCGAGGCCGAGGCGCTCGGGGAGCCCCTCCGCAGCAGCGCGGAGCTGGCCCCGCGGCTGCGACTCCAGGAGCAGGTCAGCCCCCGCAGCAGCAGATCGACGTGTGGGGCGCTACCGACAACCACTGCGGGCTGAGAGAGGACGACGCCAGGAACCTTCCGCCCATCCCGATCGAGCAGGTGCAGCAGATGATGCCCATCCTGATGCGCATGTCCCTCAGGCACGAACAGGCGATCAACGCCCTCGAGTCGGCCATCTTCCGTCGCGTCCAGCTTCCTGCCAACCACGACGTGCCCCAGTCGATGATGCTCACGGCGCGGTACTACGGGCAGGAGGCCAAGCGCCTTCGCGAGGCGAACCAGGCCGCCCTCAAGAACGGCGACCCCGTCCCCGAGCTCGAGGCGCTGGGGATCCCTCATCCACATGTGTGGGTCGCGCTGGTGGGCGCTCTCGTGGGACAGGGCGACAAGGTGGGCCAGGCCAACGCGAGGCAGATCAAGGAGTACCAGGATCGCATGAAAACGGCACCCATCTCCAACGGCGAACTGGCCGACCAGGTTCGGCACTGCAGGCTGCAGACGACCCGCGCGCAGGACAAAGTCAAGATCTGGATCGAGGCCAAAGCGACAGGCATAGAGGACACGGTCGTAGCCGCTCTGGTGCAGCTCGGTGGGGTTCACAAACACGGGGCGCCTCCACGCTCCCACAACGCCAGGCTGTTGCAGATTCACCTCGACGCGCAGTAGTGGCCGGGCTGCTGGAGGCAGTGAGAGGAGAAGGGCCTGCAGGCACGCACTGCTCACCTCCCGAGCCGCAGCTCGGAGGCAGAGGGCACCGACCTTGCAGGTCCGAGCAGACAGGGCCCGCAGGCACGCACTGCTCACTCTCCGAGCAGACTCGGGAGAGCAGAGGGTACCGACCTAGCGGGTCCGACGTTGCAGTGGGACTTGCATCACAGAGGCTATCGACTGGACGGTTGGCGACTTTGACCACGCCGTTGAGGGCCACCCCTTCTCGTTCCCTGATCTGGACTACATCGCTAATGGCGGCTCCGACGGCGGGGAGATCACGAACTCCGCGTGCCCAGAGCTACTCGACCCCTCACCTCGGCCACGTCTTCAGTGAGTTCGGCTACACCTGGTCCTATGACTTCGATTAGGCCGAATAATCTCGCCGTCGCTGCCGCCTCTCCTGACCTTCAGACTCCTCCTCCTCCCCCTCCGCCGATCCCTCTCACCAGAGTCTTGGGTCTTCTAGGTTTCAGAAAGCGCGAAGGCCTTCCCCCAGGGCCGTAACTTTTTAGCTTTGTGTGTTTCAGTGGCCCCCTTGGGGCCGCTCGGGCCTGCCTGAGTCGTAGTTGACTTTTATCCAAAATTCGAGAGGCGAGGATCTGACTGATAATGCTGGGCCTCCCTGCTCTGCTTTTTTCTGTTAGAGCCTCGAAGTTTCGTCCCCGATTTTCGTCCCACGTCCCCACGGCCGTGCCCTGCCTTTAAAGCTTTGGGCCCTCCAGCCGAGGTGGGGTAAGGTGGGCGGGAGCAGAGTGCACCTAGTGCCACGCGTGACCAGTCTATATTGAGTCACTGCGCCCTCTAGAAGCGAGTCAGTTCGGAGCTTACATTATTTTGGCTTCGGAGTTCCCCGCGTTACGGCAGGATCATCTGGCACCCTTCTGCAGAGTCGTTCGTTCGTTCGTTCTCCTCATCCTCCTCCTCGAGTGACGCGCCGGCAGTCCCCCTCGGCCGCCCCCCATCCGTCCCCTGGCCCCCGTCCCCGCGCGCC